CCACATGCCCTTGGACGACGAGGACCTGAAAGCCATATCCCGAACCGCCACCAACCTCGAGGTCTTCGACCTCACCTGTCTCTCCACCGTCACCATCGACGGCGTCATGGCCATAGTCAAAGCATCCCAATCCACCCTCCGCGTGCTCGAACACTCTCCGAGGAGCAACGACGGCTTCTTCCACCCCCACCCCGGCACTCCTTCCTCCGACGACCATCTCTGCGAGATCCTGAGCAACTGTCCGCGCCTCGAAACACTTTCCATCAGCGTACCGTCCATGTGCGCTACACTCTTCGCCAACGACCAAGTCCGCTGGTCCGGCGACTGCCAGGTCCGCGCAACCCGGCTCTGCGACCACGACCACGACCGCAACCAGACCGCAAACGAGGCTGCAAGCGAGTCCGCCGTCAAAGACCCCACCTCCCACAACAAACTAGCGCTCCTCCTCCACACCGCCCGCCACCTCGCCACCACCCACCGCTCCGCCCGCGTCTCCAAACACCTCTCCATCGAACTCTTCTTCGCAGCCTTCATCTTCGAACCGCACCTCAGGCTCGTGCACGGCGATCTCGCGATCGGGGAGCTCAACTCGGGTGGTTTGTGGCCCGTCGAACGGGAACCGAGCAGGAAGGGACCGTATGGGAGTACGGGGCTGTATGGGAAGGATGAGGAGGAGGGCGTGTTTGAGATGGTGGGGGAGAGGGAGTTTTTGAGGGGGTGGGGCAGGGGGTGGGTTGGTGTTTAGGCTTGATTTTCGGGGAGGTTGAGACGGATTGGAAAAAGTTTCCGAAGCGTGGTGTTTGGTGGTGGGAAAAGTTTGATTTGGTCTGGTTGGGTGCCGCTGCTCTCTCTCTTTCTCTCTCTCCATCTTTTCGTGTTCCTTTTGGATCTTTTCTGCCCTCTCTTTCCCCTTATTTTTTCCTCTTCTCTTTCCCATCTCTTTCTCATCTCTTTCCCATCTCTTTCCCCATCTCTTTCCCCATCTCTTTCCCCTTTTCCCTTTCTCCTTTGGCTCACCTTGTTCCCGCACCCTCAAAAGCGTGATGATATCAGGCCACTCCACGGCCACCTCGACGGGTTTAGCATGCACGCACGCGCGGTACGAATTGATGCCAGCAACGGCCGGATGAGGGAGCGAATAGCGAGTGGATGGCGAGTGGATGGCGATTGAATATTAAGACGAATCCGACAAGTCAATGTGCTTGCGCGATATCCCGTCTCCCCGGACCACATCAGAGGGCGAAGTTCCCGGGCGTTCCCGACTCGAGATCCCGTTGTAGCTACTGCCAGTGCGTCGGCGAGGTGCCGGCAGCACGTTGGAGAATCTGACCCAGTTCGAATGCATGTCGAGGGTGAGCTGGGGGGGACGCGGGTAGTGCTATGGAGAGCACATGGGTACATAAGTTACCGGTAACGTTGGTTTGGGGGGATGTTCCCACGGAGACGTCAGGCATGCGCTGGCGCTCCCAGCACAGCAAGCGAACGTAGCGGTACGCGTACAAGAAGCAGCAGCACCGAGATTGTGCAAACGTTTCAGATTTTTGGCTATAGATCTAGTATGACATCCCATTACGCAGCACGCACCTCCCCCTCCCTCTCCCCTCTCCCCCCTCAAACATACCCATCCAACCTCGCCGGATCCGTCTGCCCAACAATCTTGATGCTACTCTTCAACTCGGCCCTGCGCCTGGCCCGCTGCCCCTCGCGCTTCAGCTCCCCCGCCCGCTTCGAGAAGCTCCAGCGCCGCTCCCCGTCCCCGTGCCGCAGGAGACCCAGGCGCTGCGACACCACGCTGTCCGGGCTGGTCGGCGGCGAGGGCGACGGCAGCGGGCTGGCCGCGTGCGCGGGCGCGGCGATGGAGAGTTTGGAGAGGTTGCCGAGGGTGAAGGGGTGGGTGCTGGGGGGTGGTGGTGGCGAGGGGTCGCTCGGGGCGCGCTCCATGGGGAGGGGGTAGATGGCGTTTGCGGAGGGCTGGTGGTATGTTGTTGGGCTTTGCTTGGGGCTGTGGGGGTTGGCTGAGGGGCGGCGCAGGCGCGCGAGGGTTGTGCGGTTGGGGCGGCTGGTGGTGGTGGGGCTGGCGCTGGGGATGGGGCTGGCGCTCGAGGTTTGCGAGATGGTGGTTAGAGGGGTGCTTTGGCGGGGTTCGGTCGTCAGATGGTGCGAGTGCGCGAGTGGGGAGGCGTGTCTGCTCTCCGTGGATGGCCGGGGTCTGTTGCTGTCTGTGGACGGCCGGGGGGAAGAGGACTTGGATGAGAGAGAAGCGACGAGGGTGAGGGGCAGCGGAGGGGTGTGAGGTGGCCCATCGGTCGCCTTCTTGCCCTTTTTGTTCTTCTTCTCTTTGGACGCGTCTTTGGCTTTCTCGGTGTCTGGTCTGGTCGGAGAAAGGGGAGAGGCTGGGGTATCTGCTCTGGGGTATTTGGATGGTAGGATCATCTTGAGTGGTCCGGACGAGATGCTGTCTTTGATCTGATCACGAAGACTGGACTTGCGTCTGTGATGGTGTCTTCCCTTTGTTTCGCCCTTTTCCTTTTCCTCGTGGGCGCTGACGGGCGAGGTAGGGTCGGCGCTGTCGACCCGACGGTGCTGAGTCTCCATCCTTCTATCCGTGAATAGGGGCTGCGGGGCCATATGAATGTCTCGACCGGTACCGATGTCGCTCTGGACGAACCATGAGTCGTCATCAAAGAGAGCAGTTTCCGGTCGAGCGAGCTCTCGGTACTGATCCAACAGTGCCTGGTGGTAATCTTTCGACAGTCTCTCGTCTTTCATCTCCACTTCCCCTTTCAGATCCGCCGAGCGCGCAGTCCATTCTTGAGCGGAATCTTCCTGACGTTGAGAAGGGATGTAGTGTGCATACTCGGGCGACCTTGGCGGGATCTGGGCTGATGACTGATGGCCATGCTTCGCCTTGTCGGACGTATCCACAGCTTCCAATCCAAGTGATACAATCGCCTTTCCTGGAATCTTGTTCTCCGTTACATCGAGATCTGACCTTTCTGCGAGCTGCGCCGCGGCACGTTCCTTGGCCTGCCCTAACTCATCTGGTGTTTTTGGTAGTGGGGTCTGAGGACCTTGGAGAGCAAAGTCTTTCGCAATCGATGATATGGAAGGGTACGGTCCCGCAGGAGTGCCTTTTGTGACTCCATTGTAATGTGCCGATGGTGGCCGCGGCCAGTGATCTGTTTGAGGAAACTCGGCACTAAGCTCGTACTCGAATGCCGGAGCATTGTCTCGAGCCGCGCCCCTCGATGGACTGACTAGTGGAGAATCCAGCAACGGTGAAAACGTCCTCGGCTCCAGGAGTGGCGGTAACGGTCTCTCTGGCTTTGCAAGTTGAGGACTGCTGACGGTGTAGGTCGAAGGCTGAAGGAAGATGGGCGACTCCCTTGATGGCTCGGGCTCGGGCTCGGGCTCAAGTCGACGATCTAAAGGCTTCTCTTCGTCATTTTCCCACCACGACGCCGTGGAAGAGACTGTACTGATCCGGTCCGTCGTGTTGGACTGCGGGATGGGTCTTGTTGACATGGGAACGGTATCCTTGAAGAATGGGATGGGAGGTAACTCTTTCAACGGTGGAGGAGGTACTGATTCCAGGAACTGTTGGAAAGATGGCACCGGTTTTTCCATGCCGATGAGGGAAGGTCCAGCGCTATGGAAAAAGGGCTCTTGTCGTTCGTGCTGCGTCCTCGACATTCGGACCACAAAAGACTTGACAGAGTACGTTTCATGGAGCAGAGCCATGGCGGAGACGATTGTGATAGCATGCGAAAAACAAACAAAGGAAGTATGAGCTTCCACGTGCGGAATGTCTTGGTATTTCCGAACGGGGGATTTGGAATCAATTGAACAAAGAAGCCGTGGCGAAGATTGACGCAAGAAGAAAAGAAAATCGGGAGAATTGAGACGGCTATATGATGCTTTGGCTGGAGAACATGGAAAGCTGTGTCGAGCTCGAGGTTAATTGTTAACGCAATGATCAAAGAGACGGTGTGCCGTCTCACTCGTATCAGCAGCCAAGCACAGCTGCACAAGCCACACCGCTTCGTGAAGTCAATCGCCATCGCGCGTCGACTGTCAGCGTAGCATGTGCACTTTCCGGTAAGGCAGTAGCGGTAATGCGGTACGAGCACGGAGATGACTGGTGTCTTCTGTGTAGGCACGGCAGGGTCAGTATCAAGGTCAGCGCAATTACAGTCATGGCCGATCATCGATAGTTTCGGGAGCGCTGTCTGACTGATATCTACTTATGGGTCGGAGACAGCCCAACTAGGTTCTTGATAACCTTGCAGCGACGGTCAAGGGTGTTTCTAGCTGGGGACAACTCGCCGGACTGCACGCTTCGACTCCCTCGACCCTGCGCCAGGCAGCTTCCAGTGCGCGGAATGGAAATGACATTTGTGCGCAAACTTGGAACTGCCCCTGGAGGTGATACGGACTTCCAAGTGAGTTTGCAGATGAGGCTGTCGAGCACTGATAGAGTTCGAGAGATGGCACTACGGTTCGCGATGCAGTGGGGTTGATAGTTGATGGTCGATGGTCGATGGTTGATGGTCGATGGTCGATGGTTGATGGTCGATGGTCGATGGTTGATGGTTGATGGTTGATGGTTGATGGTTGATGGTTGATGGTTGATGGTTGATGTTTGGAAAGTTGAAACAGCCCCTTGGGCCTCGGGCCGTCACCGACTTACCGGTAATTTAACGTTAACGTTATGCCTGGCTTGATGCTTAATACTTGATGCTTGACGCTTGATGCTTGAAGCTCGAAGCTTCATGGCAAGCTCTTGCGCCGGGAAATTGTCGGATCTAGCAATGAAAACGCCTCGGTTCCATGGATCCACATGGTCTTTTTGGCCCGGACACTATCGAATCTTGCACGCATACACGCACACCAGAGACGGGTCTTGTTGTCCTTGAAGCTGTAACTTACAAGAATCATAATGATTATAAACTTTGCAGTCTGGAATTTCTTCAACCATCAGAGAGCATCAGTTCTTTCAATCCCCGATGGTCTAGTGGATATGATTTCCGCTTGTCATTACTGGTTAATACAAAGCGCGGGAGACCGGGGTTCGATTCCCCGTCGAGGAGCATATTTGTTTTGGTGGTTCGTGATAGCTTTTTGTGGTGTTGAGTTGGGAGGACTTTTTTTGCGCGGTGGAGAAACGGCCCATAGACTCTTCCGCACGAACGCTGTTCGAAGCTATATTTCCATAGGTTGACAGAGCAAGTGTAGATAGATGGTAGATGAAGAATTACGAGTAGCTATGCCCTCAATGTTCAAAATGTCAAAGTAAGTCCGCACTGCAGATGGTGAAAGATCGACACTTGAGTAGCCGTTTCGCGAGGCAGAGGCAGAGTCATCCAGGAGAGGATGCCGGGCAAGTAGGAGTATTAGTATATAGCATTGCTTGATGCGAACGTCATTTGCGCACTCCGCTCACGACAGTTATCAATTAGATGCAAGTGCACCACTTACTACATCTTCAACACGACAAGCTAGTGGTTCAGGCAGATTTTAAGGTCACACAGACGACAATAGCTCGAATAAAAAGCCATCAGGCAACTACACATGACATGTTCTTACAACTCCAACTGATTTCCCCCCACCCATCCATCCCTCGGGAACGCCAGCAAGTATGTACCCCAGTTTTAACCCAGACACGTTCGCCAGACCTACGGGCTGACACTTCACTCCGCATCCCCCATCTCCTCGTCGCCATCTTCATCCTCGTCATCCTCCTCCCCTTCGGCCGCATTAACCCTAAACGTCGGCGCCAAATCCACACCGAGGTACGAATCGCTCAGCAAACTCAACGTGAGCTCATGCTCGCCCTTCTCCGGCACCACATACTCCAAGCGCGTCTTGAGCTCCCTACCGATGGTGATCCTCTTGATAGCGAGCAGATTCCGCGTCCTCTCGTCGCCGACAACCAACCACCAGTTCTCTGTCTTCTGCGCAGGGAAGAAAGGCGCATGCACCTCCGCCGCTGGCTGCTCGTCCTCCTCGAGATTCCTCGTAACGACGACGTTGACGTACGCGGGTTCGCCAGCGGTGATGTTCTTCGGCGCGTCCTCAGCAGATGCGGGCATGTCCTCGCCGTCTTCGGGCTGGATGTCGATGTCGATGTTGGGGTAGTAGTCGTTGACGAACTTGGCTGCGTCGGCGAGCTGTTGGGGCGAGAAGTTGAGGCGCTGGGCGAGCTCCTTGTGGCGCTCGTCGTCCTCGTCCATGGCGTCGATGAACTCGGAGATGTCGGTGACGCCGGCCTTGTTGGCTTCCTTGACGAGGCGGTCGTCGAAGTGAGGGATCTGCTTGAGCGGGCTTTCGCGGTCCCACATTGCTTGGACGACCATTTGGGAGATTTCCATGGCGTTGGTGGCGTTGAGGTGACCGTCGGATGAGAGCACGTCAACGCAGGCGCTGAGAAGGTTCAGAACCTTGCGGAGGATTGTTTCTTGGTCCTTCTGCAAGTCGATGGGGAGTTGCATGCGCGAGAAGTGCGCCTGAAGCAGCACAAAGGCCTTGAAGTGAGGCGACTCGTAGTTGAGCTCCGACATCTTCACAGGCAGGCGGTCGTAGATGCGGCGCAAGACTTGATCTTCGTGGCGGCGGATCTGGATACCTTCGAATTCTGTGGCAGAGGTGATGATCTCAAGGATGCCCTTGAGCTTGGTCTTGGAAGTGAGCGAGAGAAGGAAGGTCTGCATAGTGATGAAGGAAATGTTGTAGTAGGCTGCGATCATGGCAGGGTTGAGAGGCGTGATCGAGTCGTCCTCTTCGTCAAGCTCAATGATCTTGGCTTCCGCAAGGTCCTTCAACGTTGTCTCAACCAACTCTGACAGATGAGCGCTCAAACCCTCATGAGACGTATCAGTAAGACCGTAGAAGCTGGGGTTGGCGAGCAGGCGACGGTAGAAGTAGGTGTAAGTGGTCCAGTCGACAGCGTCCTGAGTCGAAGAGATCATGCGAGTGCTGATTTCCGCCACGAAAGCATCCGGAAGGTAGACCTGAAGTTGACTTTCGATCGGGAGGGCTTCGTTAAGGAACTTCTTATAATACTCGCGCTTGACAGCAGGCACCATGAGAACACCCTTGCTCGTCTTATCCTCTCCCATCCGACCGGACTTGCCAAACATCTGCAACACCTCGCTGATCGGGTAGTCGATGTAACGGTGCTCCCTGCCTTCGAAGAATTGTGTGTTCATGACGATAACGAGGTGAGCATTGACGTCGATCTCCCAGCAGCAGTCACGGGAGACGAGCAGGACCTGGATGGCGCCGACGCGGAAGAAGTGCTCGACCGCGCGCTTGTCGAACGAGCTCAAAGCTTCGTGATAGTAACCGATACCGTGGGACATAGACTCCGCAAGTGCAGGCTCGTTGACCCTCTCGAGAACAGGCTTCATGTCCTCGATCGCGGCGTGCAAGAAGCGGTCTTCATCATCATCGGCCACACAAGCTGCAAGCAAGTCCAGCGCCGTAGCACGCGTCTGCTTGCGGCTAGGTACAAAGATCATTGCGGGCTTGTCCGGCGACTGTTGCAATACTGCCTGGTACGCTGGCTTAGCCATAGCGAGCATGAGCGACGGGAAGTGGGGAATAGTGAAAGGTGCCAGGGTGAGCTCAAGCGGCACAGATCGAACATGCGGACTGAAGTTGAAGATGGTGAGCTTGGTAGCGCCGATCCACTCGCCAATATCGCGGGCGTTGGACAGTGACACGCTGAGACCAACGATGCGCATCTCAGACTCCAGCTGAATGGTCATAGCATGCATACGAGACACGATCGTCTCGTATACATAACCTCCCTGTCCTCCAAGCATGTGCAAGTCATCGGCGATGAAAAGCTTAACGCTTTGCACGTTCTTGCGGCGCTGCCATGCTCTTGAGATGACATCCCACTGGGCAGGCGTAGCTAGAATGAGGTCGCCTTGCTCCAGTAACCTCAAGTCGGCAGTCGTCTCACCCGTGAGCTTGACGATTGTCTGGCCGCCTGCGACCTTGGACAGACGCTGCTGCCAGTCCTTAAGACGTTTATCAACGAGCTCCTGGAACGGAGCAACATAGACGGCACGGCCTTCCTCGCCCTGCGACCAGTGTCGCAACAGGGCAAATTCGGCACAGACAGTCTTGCCCATGCCGGTGGCAGCGCCGACGAAGACGTTGTCGTTGGACTGGAAAAGCGCGTTGAACGTCTGAGTCTGGATCTTGTTGAACCTTTGGAAATTGGGGTACAGTTCCTGGAAGTCCTGCCTCTTCAAGTCGGCAACAGGCAACGGCTGCAAATCAAGGAGCTGAGTATGCGGCGGGAACTTGGCAGGGAGTACAATGTTCTGCAGATCAGCCACATACTTGGCTTCTGAATGCATCCACCTGTCAGATACTGCGCTGACAAAGTAGTGAGGTGGCATCGGTTCAGTGATTGGCACCGTGAATTCGACGAGGTGCTCCGACTCGGCGTATTCCCTGCGAAGCAAGAACTGGTCGTGGAATAGAATTTCCTCACCATCGCAGTCCTCGACGATGATCCAGAAGCTCTCCGCGCTTCCGTGAAGCTCATCATCCCAAACAAAGTTGGGCGTGATGGTCAGTTCAACACGAAGCATGGTCCGCGTCATGGGCTGAACGTTCACGCCGATCTCAAGGCGCGGGAACTTCTCCACAAGCCCGCAGACCGTCCTACCCGCTCTGGGCAGACCCATCAGCTCGCCCATTTGAGGCGGGTCGAGGTCGAAGTACGCTTCAAAAGGCACGTCGATGCGCTCAGCCTTCTGCACGATGTCGCGGGGACAGTGAGGAAATTGCCGTAGAGGCGTCATGGTGGGCCACATGCGCTTCTCTGCCATCTTGCAAAGGTCGAGCGCTGTCTTCGCGACTGAAGCCCAGCCCTTCTTTAGACAGATCTCGAAGATGGCTCTGAGGATACGGCCTGCAGACTGGGTGACATAGACCAAGTCTGCCATAAGAGCCAAGCCCTCGAGTTTGAGTCTAGAGATGTAGGCTTGCAGGAGGACATTGATCTTCGCATGAGGCTCTTCAATGCTCTCCTTGACAGGGATGGGAACGCGACCAAGCAGCTTGGCAAGTTCGAGCTTCTCGTCCTGCCTGACAGGGATGTACTTGAACTCATCACTAAGGGCAAAGACGCGGAAAAGCTCGATGGTGGAGATGTTAGGCTGAATGTGGGTGTTGTAGGTGGCCATCGAGTTGTTGGTGATGTAGTAGTGAGATGCGATCCTGCCAAGTTCGGTGGCGGTCATTTTTCCAGTCTTCTTGTCGTACTTGACCAGATTACACCTCTCAAGGACAACGGCGGCGGAATGGATGAGATCAACACGCTTCTGCTCCAGAGCTTCGTCGTCCTCATAGTCCGCACCGACGCTGTACAGTCCAGGCGACCGCAACATACGAACGTACAGGTATGTGTAGCCAAGCCATTCCACACCTTCATCGCGACTGCGGACATTTCCAAGAACAACTTCCGCATTCAGGTTATCTACCAGCCTGCTCATGAACTGACTCTCAATGGGCAGCTGCTGGTTCATAAGAGACAAGTAGTACTGGAGCTCAGTCTGCGTGGTGATGATGATACCTTCACCATACGTATCGTACTGAGGACGACCAGCACGACCCAACATCTGCAAGACATCTTGGGGGCTGAGCTCGACCCAGCTACCCTTCTCAGGTGAGTAGATCTGAGTACCCTTGATAATGACGGTGTGAGCGGGAAGGTTGACACCCCACGCAAGAGTAGCAGTGCAAACGAGGACACGGAGAGAACCATCGGCGAACAAGTCCTCCACCGCGGTACGATCGGCACGGCTCATACCAGCGTGATGGATACCGAAACCATATGGCATCACGTCCTTGAGCTCCGCGTTCTGCACGTTGCTAGACTCTTCGCGTAGAATTTCCCGACTAGCCGCATCGCTTCGGATGATTTGGCCAATGGTGTCTAGTTCAAGGGCCTTGTCACGGATGTATTTGGCGGTCTTGGCGGTCTCTTTACGGGAGTGCACGAAAATGAGCATCTGGTTATCCTGCTGACCGACCTGCTCCAAAACCTTGTTGTAGCAGACGTCGTTCA